GATGCTTACTCATCAATGTTTACTTTGACCTTTCGCGAAGCACCTAGTTAAGCCAGCGCGCATCGCTGACGACGCGGTAGCAACTGTTTATAAACAACTGACCCTGGAAGTGTGCGACATTGTCACTGCTGCTGTTAAGTTGTGTATTTGCTCCTACGAAATCTTATATTGCTTCAAAAATTGTCTTTAAATATTGACGTTACCCTTCTTAAAGCTTCAACTTGTTATTACCTATATGTATTTCGGGCCAGTGAATCATAATTTCACATAAAACAGTTGCAAATCAACAAATAAAAAAAAATTCAGAGTTGGTTGGAAATGCTAACATGAAGCTTTAGTGTGATGATTTATTAGCTAGAGAATGATCTTTAGAAGAGGGTAGGTGGATAGTTCCGTTAGAGTACGGCAGTATGAAAATTGAATAGAAGTTGAAAATGAGCGAAGGGCCATTAAAGCGACAGTTTTCAAGATGACGCACATTTTTGCCTAGCCCGTACGATGTACGCGGGGACTTGAAGTATGTCTCCAAGTCCACAGGCAAAAATGTGCGTCATCTTGAAAACTGTCGCTTTAATGGCCCTTCGCTCATTTTCAACTTCTATTCAATTTTCATACTGCCGTACTCTAACGGAACTATCCACCTACCCTCTTCTAAAGATCATTCTCTAGCTAATAAATCATCACACTAAAGCTTCATGTTAGCATTTCCAACCAACTCTGAAAATCGTTAACTTCGCGTATGAAGTAACATAAAAAACACTTTGAAAAAAAAAAATGTAATATCGATCAACGTAATTCAAGCTGATGTAAGAAATAATGATGTAATAGCAAAAAGCAGATACAATATTGCATCAATGGATGTAATTTTGTTCGCAAAATCGATGTACATCGTACAATGTGATATTACACAACCGATGGATTGGCCTGGTTGCAGCAGTTTCGATGTAATATTCAACAACTTTTTTTGCTGTGTACCCTTCACCAAACAAAACAAAACAAACTGTCAACTCATTTTTCCTAACGGCTTCATTTGATTTCTGCTGTGCCCGTTCGACGTCGGCTTTGAATCGCAGGTAAAATATTTTTCGTATCAATTCAAATGAAATGCATTTCATAATAAGTGTTTCTTTTTCAGATGTGCCATCATGCATATGTCTCCAACTTTAGGTAACTTAAGGTGATGTAGGTCCCAGTTTATTGCAGCCAGCTCATTGACGAAATGACAAATCTGAGATTCTTGAACCTGGATCGCCCGACGCTCTAGAACTTTCCACGTATATCCTTGCTCGTGTAGTATTCTGGAAACAGAGGACGTACTGATGGAGCAGTTGAAAGTTTTCTCAAAACTATCCCTGGCCTCATCTAAGAATAATGTCGGATTTTCTTTTAAACTGTTCGATTAACCACCGTCGTTTCTCTGCTCTAAACTGCAAGGACACTTTTCTTCTCTCTTTGCGAGCCACCAATCCACTTTCGCGATAACGTTTTATCCAGCTGCTAATTGTAGTGTGATGCTTCCCGTACATTTTTGCCAATTGCGATTTGGACAAGCCCAGGAAATAGAACCCGTACAGCACGTGATACTTCGTATTGGTTGATGCATGTCGGCCAAGTACCTCTTCTTTAATTCGATACATTTTGTCAATGTTATGGAAAGTATGGATTTGGAAACTGTTATGAATAGAACAAACTCGGAAAATTTGCTGTTCGATACGGATTTTTTTTGACGTTTGTTTGTTTACATATTCATCAAGATAGCTGGCGCACAACCCGGCGCGCAACTGATCGGCGCATAAGTTGTTGGGCATTATGTGGATTTTTCTTAAGAATCACAATATGTTTTGAGATACTATGTTTTCAAGAACAAGTTTTTCTAAGAGTTACGTCTGTTTGTCTGTGCTAATACCAACAATCAATACGAAACTAACGATTTTAAATTGGAGTATAAATCTACATTCCTCCAACCATCTACAGCAGAAGCACACTTTGATACTATTCGTATAATGCTCCCAACCAACAATTTTTTATAAGATCTAGACCTCCATTTCTCACCGAATACATATTTATTCAACACTAACTCATCTACTACAGTCGGGTGAAGTATAGATGCGCGAAAAGAAGCCAGTTGTCTCCTCTTTCTCTTAGCTTCGCAGTAAAGAGACTGAATTGACTGAGTTGTTTAGTTTTCCAAGCTTTAAAATTATCCAAAATCAACTGTTGCGATTGCAGTTGATTTTGGATGAAAATTTGTAACGTGCGCCATGTTTATTTCGGTTTGTCGGCTGGCGAAAGAAGCAATTTCCCAAACGTTTAAATTAGCGTATCTAAAACCATACGGAAGAAGGTATGTAGTAAATTTATAAAGTTAATTGATTAAGTAATATTACACTTTACTTCTTCGTAGGTTCCCTATGCAGACATGTCTGGAACCTTTGTAGAGCCATACGTCATCCTTGCTCCATACATTGAGTCAAGGAAGAAGGTCAATTACAAGCGAAATGGCCTCCACCAACCTGCTGATGATTCCACAGTCAGTGAAGTGCACCATCACCCAGCATCTGACGGCAGTGGATTAGTGCAAGTAAGAATATTTTAGTTTTTTGACCCAGCTTTGTGTTCTTACCTCGTTTCTTACCACATAATTGCAGAGTGATTTGGATGAGAATAACAGCTGCAGTCTGGGAAGCCAAGAGTAGATCCAACGGGAAACGAGATTGCTTAGAACTTGTCTTCACCAACCCAGTAGATGCTTAAATCAACGCAACGGATCTCGCCCTACAAAATAATCAATGACCCGGAAACTGTTGAGTAGCTCGAAGCTTTTTTATAAGCCTCCTACTTTTTGTAATGTAAACACTACCTCTCTACCCCTCGCTGTACCCCTATGCTAATAAATAAATCTACTGTATTATTTTTTTTATACGCAAGCGAAATATGATAGGTTTATGGCAGAACAATATTTGTTTTCATTTATTATTTTAAAATGAAAAGACAGTTTTAGGTACTTTTCACCGAACGTACACTCTTAATGAAACAGTTACATTTTACTCAATACGAAGTCTTATTAAAGTACTTAAATTTGGATACTTCGCAAAGAACTCAATTTTGACTGGTTGCACTTAGCTGTCAAGATGAGTTCAAAAGCAGGGGGACCCTATCCCTGTCAACCACATATAGATGCACCATAGCTCACATGATCTTGACATTTTTGGAAAATCTGACACTTTTGGACATACTGACAGCGGTAAAACTGACGGAGGCACGACAGAACAAGACAGCTTACTTTTTCACACTTGCATTGCAGTGCTGAATGCTAGAAAGAGTAGTCTGTTGCAGTCATCCTCCTTACCCACTTTATTTATCACATTGATGTGAGCTCCGCCGAAATTCGTGATTGATGCCCCCGTGTTCAAAAGACTTAATTTTGAGTTCTTTCGATTCCCCATGTAAACATTTGCACATTTCACTAATACCAATAAGCCCTTTGGCCCAGACCTTATATAAACGTCATTGATGTAGCATCATCAAATATACCGTGATCTGTCATGAGATAATTAGAGATGTGACCCGATATTTTAGAGGTGTGATCGATAAAAAACGATATTGTTACTTTAAAAAATTATATCGGTAAAATGGATTTATTTGAGGGAGGCGACTCTATCTAAAATGCAGGAAAAATGTTGCTTTGCGTTGTGAGATGCTCGCACGCTTAGTGAAGGGCGATACGAGTAGATTAAAAAAAGATGCAAGATTGTAGGTAGATTGATCCGCTAGCGTGAGATTTTCCGACCATCTTAAATGGAGATTCATATGTATCGCACCCCCAGGAATAATTTAGATATAAATCGGTTCACCAAAAATACAAGATTGTTTTTCATAAAATTTTAATAAATCTGGGAGTTTCGTTCTTCTCGAGAACATGCCCCTCGTAATCTAACTCAACGGTGTCAACGAAAGCACTTGTCAATTCGACCCCTGGCGTTTTCTGACAGGGGAAGGTCCATCAATTATGTCACGCAAATTTGGCCCATTATCAACCCCCCTCCCCCCTTCGTCACATTTTTTATATGGACCTTAATTGTTTTTTGTAAGGCTCGTCACAGTTTCCAAAAACCCCCTCCCCCTAAAAGTGTGACATAATTAATGGACGATCCCCAGGTAAATGGTCTTATTTTTTCACACGCGGGCAGATTTCATACAAAAAAAATGCAGAATTTTTAGGCTTATCATGAACAAAACACTCCTTGAAGTTTTGAAATCTTAAAATTAGAGGTAACTCGCTATAATCAGAAAATTCGAATTTTATACTTCATATATATATACCATGAGCAGTTCTATCGGTAATGGACTTGAGCAAATTTATAGTACTTTTAGTATTTGAAAGTTTGGTGAGATAGCAGAATCTATTAGGTATTTATTAACAATCTATAGGTTCAAAATCATACTATTTTCAACAGATTCTGGCTTGTGTTATCTCCTTTCGGTTTGCATAGCAGTGGTTTTCAAAAGAGAAAATCGATGAAGAGAATCGATCAAAGCAGATAGGACCGTTTGAAATGTTCATCGAGTATTGATAAGGCATGGTGAAGTTATCCTGAATAGCACACAGAAAAAGATCGAACCGATTCTCCGGCGGCAACAGGCCTGTTGCCGAAAAATCTTGTGTGGGCCATTATTGTCACACTCACAGTATTTTTGGTATTTGGTATTCATGGAATGGATGAAGTGGAGTGATCAATGCAGATTGAACGTTTTGCCATGTTTGTCCAAGTTCGGGTCCAACTTCGATGGTAGATTTTGAGGAGTATTTCTCATCAAATTCTACAAGAATTTGGTTTGTGAACATTATGCCAACGTTTCAAAAGTTCTTAAATACACCTTGAACTTCAATGGAAAATACTATTTCTTAGTGCTCCTGAAAATATGAAGTAGGTATTCAGTCAGTTCCAATTCCCCGGTGATTTTGTCACTTACGCCCCATTTCCAAACGACCCAATAGGTTAAGAGGTTTATCGATTATATTTAAATAATTCTGATCTGTTTATAAGTAAACGGTAGGTATTCTGTTGATTTTGACACTTACACTGCTTAAAGTTACTTCCACATTTTTTGTTTGTTTTATCAACGCCATTTCGGTACCCGACGAATTCTCCTCTCGGCGCTGAGTGCTCCGTTAAGAATACTTCTATAGGTAGGTATCAGTTTTTGAAAAACGAACAGAAAGACTATCCATATGGTGAGCACGAAAGCTCTAACTTAAAGCTAGAAAATGTCTACTTTAAACAGAGAAAAAACTAAATGTTGATTATTGTATGCACCAGCGCAGAGAATGGTGCATGGGTGGAGCTAAGATGTTGAATCGACAGCAAAACGTCGAAACGAAAAAATTATAATTATAAAATTAAATGTATAAGGTAGTCATCAGTGGGTTCGAGCTACAATGAGCAGTGTGTAGATTCCTTTATACAAAGTTAGCTCACAGGCACACTCCGGATTGGCGTGTGCCTTGTATATGTGTATGTAGGTAGCGGAAAACTGCGATTACTGCATCCACCTCTGTTGCTGTTGTGGTGGCTGTTGCTCTGGGGGACCACGGTTTGGATTGCTAGCCAAAGATAATAGTTCAATTAGATTATAAAAAGGACACTCTCATTAAACATAAAGTTGATTCCTTATAATAATAACCGCTTTAACTTACACTTCGAAGCTGCACTTACCGAGGCATGTCGCTTCCCAACGGGGGGAAAGCTTGATTATATTCGGACGATGCCAAGGGTGTCGCGCCATTATTACCTTGGCTGTATACTCCTCGGTTAACACTAAAAATAAATTCCATTATCCAACATACCAGTACTATGAAACCATTTCAAAATCAATCTTACTATCCTCCTCCTCCTACTCCAATTGTAGTACCACCCTCTCCAACGCTTCTGCGCGCGTACGGGTCAAGTAGCGGACTAATGGCCAGTCCTCCAGGTCGACTAGAAAATCTACCTCCGCCTTCATTGGGCAATGCAAACCCGCGTCGATCCTCACTGTTGAACTGTTGTCCACCAGCAGAGAATCGACTGCCACCACCACCACCACCTCCGCTGCCGCCCCCACCGCCACCGCCACCGCCGCCGCCGCCGCCACTACCACCACCACCACCACCACTGCTGAATCCACCCCTTCCACCGCTGCCGCGGTCATTGTAATCTCCTCGACTGCCTCCTCCTCCTCCTCCTCCTCCTCCACGATTGAATCCGCCTCGGAAATTGCCACCACTCTGATTCTGCCCGTCAAAGCTTCCACCACGACCTCCGCCGTAAGGCTGATTGCGCATGTTACCCCGACTCTGATTATTTCTCATAGGACCTCCTGAGCGATCCTGTTGACCGTCTGCAAGTCCATTTGAATGCATTCAATTTCAATATCTTAACAAAGCTTAAAAAACACTCACCATCGAAATTCGATCTCGTTTGCTGCTGGAAACCACCTCCTCCTCCTCCTCCTCTTCCCCCTCTTGATCCACCGCGAAATCCGCCACGGCCCCCACCCTCCCCACCACGACCACCGCCGTCTCCACCACGGCCACCACCATCCCCACCACGGCCACCGCCGTCTCCACCACGACCGCCACCATCTCCACCACGGCCGCCACCCTCTCCACCGCTGGACGACGCCCCTCCACTACCACCACGATCCTTGGTTCTGCCCCGTTCCACGTTAATGGTGGCACCCTTGAAATCGCTGTTGTGCAGTGCCTGAATTGCATTGTCCACCATATCCGGTGTTTGCATGTGCACAAAGGCACACCGATTCATCACGTCGCACTCCGTCACGACGCCGTAGTTCTCGAACAGGCGCCGAACCTCTTCCGGCTTCGTTGCCTGCGGCAAGCTGCCGACAAAGATTTTATTGCGCTGTCCGAAAGCAAAAGCATCGATAATAAGCACCTTGCGTCATTTGGAGAATTGCCTTTTCACTTACCGGTAGCATAGCCAGACTCGATGCGATGAAAGCAGGAACAACCGGATGCAGATGATGCGCGGAACGTAAACAAAATTATCAAGCTTGGCCAGTGGAAAAACTGCCGAGCAAACAGCGAATTTTTGATTGGATATATTTTATTTTTTGCTTGATCCCGGCGAAAGAAGCGCGGCTCGCAAAAGCACTCTTCGGACAAAAAGGCGAGAGTGACGCTCGATCGGCGGGTGAGAGACTATTTGACTTTGACAGGGAAGCCGACGATGAGTTCCGCCAGAGGCGCATTCAGAAGAACGCGGAAAATAAAAACTACCCAAAATGTGATTGCTATTATTGTCGGCATAGTTGAAAACCGAAATAACCCATTGATGAATTTACGTGACGGTTGACCTGCAGATGGAAATGATGTGAAAATGATAATGACGTTTTGCTACCTATCAAATCGTATGGAATATTTTTTAGTACATCATCAGTTTTGTAATTGCAAATCTGAAAACTAGGTGTCGCATGGCCAGTTTTACCATAGAGGTAACTCTAATACCCCGTTCACATTACAGCGTATATCACGTGATAAACGCTGTCTTGCAATGAGCACTCATACATCTAGTTTTCACTGGAAATCCTATGTATGAGTTCTCATTGCAAGACAGCCTATATTACATGATATAGGCTGTAATGTGAACGGGGTATAAGACTAGTAGGTCCCGAAGAAACATGTAAACTTTTTGGCTCAGCTCTGGTACTATCTTCGGTCCCAAGCTAATCGATTCACCCCTCGGAACATAGGAAAATCCAATAAACCCTCATTTTACCTGTCAAACTTTCATAGCGAATCAAAACAAACATTGTGTAGTACTAGAATTTTAACTAGAATGGGGTATGTTAATCGATTTGCTTGGGACCAATAGGCTAGTCAAGTAGTGAGCCAATTTAAAATCGTTAGTTTCGTATTGATTGTTGCTATTACACTCGATGTTGTATGCCTATAAATATTACTTGAAAGTTTTTAAGTGTAAACGAGCAAATTTGAACGTTTACACGTCAAACGACACAACCCAAACGTCAAATCATATATTCCCTACCAAAAACTCAGCTAGATTGTGGTGGCCATAAGTGCTCGTAAAATGCTGGATAGAGATTGCTAAAGTGTGATTTATTTTCGTCAGGAAAATTTTCCGCTATTGGGAGATTGCCGTAAAAGCTCAACGCAGATGTCACCACTGCATGATGATGATAATGTTGACAGACTGCATATAAAATTCGTGAAAATTAGTGTTAAATCATAATTTTCATCAAGCCTGTGTAAAATCCTTCCAATATAACATTCGAATTGAAGAAGAAACCGTTTTTACGATCAGACTGATGTGCATCTTTGACTTTTCCAGATGAAATTTCATAAGATATATTCATTTCATTTCGCGGCTCCATCAATGCTGCATCGTAAATATGATGTAAACAGAAGTAAATTACTCAATTACTCAAAATAAAGATGATTTGTCATCTTGTTATCACTTTGAAAACCATCTAGCACCATATTATAGTATGGTGCGTGTTGAGTAAATCAAGTTCTGTTGCGTTTTCCGTCGAAAATTGTGAGTATCAATATGTTTGCTTAGAAAAGGCCAAAATGAACATTTATTGAATATTGGCGTCCTATACAACCAATTCTCCATTACCACCAGCATGATACAACCTTTCCTAAGTAAATTCACTTAATTTCCAACTTCATCTTAGTGGAAATCGCACATATTCACCATTTTCCGAAAAATACAGCTGCGCAGGAGGTAACGTCCGAGGTAAAGTCTTGCTGTGGGTGCAAACTTGTTATGCATAATTTGCCATGAAAACTTCTCCGATCCATACCGAAAGAATAACAAATAGTTTTCAAACCCGTTTTCTTAGTTGTTCTCATTCGCCGTGTACGTATACGTGACGTAGCGTGCGTACGATAAATAGAGATGGGTTTGTTTAATCCATAAATGAGTTAGTTTAATACAAATTTGTCTAAAATTTACACAGTCGCCAACAAATATGTATTGGCAAATCCTCGGTAAAATCGATCTGTTTTTCTTAGTAAATGTTCAGTAAAAGAACTCTCATTTGCGAGAATTGACAACTTAAATGTGGGTTATTGACTAGACTACCCCTGTTGCTCCTCCGTTTTTGACAACATTAGAAGGAGAAAAGGATACAAACTAGGTAAAAGTGAATTGGCCGTTGGTGACTTTTTTGTAACCGTGTGTTTGATTGTCAACTCAAAAATGAGTAGCCCCAAATAGCGTGAGTGCTTGCCAGAGAGCCCAGTGAGTTCTCATTTTGAATGTCGGCCCGCTGTCGACCTCATGTCCAGTCCAGTCTATCCAGTAGCTCATGCCACTCATGTCATTGACTGAAAGCACAAACAAAAAATCTGAAAGTGTCACAACAAATACAGAGACAGACCGAGCCTTTACTCGCATTTGCGGATTTTGCTAGCAAAATTATAGTTACTATCGGAAAAATCTTGCAATTTTTGCCACCCTACCATTTCCCAAGTCTTCGTAAAAATTTATGTAGTTTGTTATTGTTCCCGTAAAGGTATGTCGAATTGAAACTCTAAATTTAATCTTCTATAGAAACCTCAGTATATTCCGCACAATTTCAGGTTATGATTTTACCGCTGCCATAAGTACCATTCACCGAACGTTAAATCCGGAACTGCAACGCAAGTCATAATGAGCCAACTGGAACGCTCGCTACTTCTATTGGACGAGTCAGTCGTCAAATCGAAGCGGGGTCTACTCCGGGCCAAAGATCGCGATCTACGTAGTCCGCATCAGTCGCTGCTGGCGGGTGGTCCGGATGACTCCACCGCCATGGACTTTGATTTGTCCCTAACGGTGGGTCCGCAGGAGATTCGCAGTTTTATGTTTGATCAACAGCAAAATCTTTCGGCGAGTCGGTTGAGCTTGGCCGGCAGCCAGATCAGCACGACCGGGGTGAATGTGAGACACCGAACTGAGGCTCTGTTTGGCCAGTTTCTGGAGGTACTGCAGAGAAGAAACAGTGAAGCGGAGGTTTTTGAAACGGTGGAAGATTTGATTGAAACGTTGGATGAAGCATTGAATGGGATTGATAAGATGATGGCGCAATCGACATTTGGTAAGGAGAGGAAAATGTTGGCCGATGAAGCGTGGTTGACCGTGGAGCGGGACACTTGGAAGTTGCTGTTCGCCTTGTATAAAGATCGACTGGTGGTGCAGAAGGAAGATGTGGAGATGGATGATTTGCCATTGGTGAACAGCGAAAGGGCAATTGTGGAGCACTTGTATACAGCGAATGCTAATCTCAGAGAGTATCAGTTGATCGTGGATTGGTTGGAACAGACGGCACTGGAGCAGAATCGGATGCAGATTGGACATTTTACGGATCGAACAATTGCGTGGGAGAATACACTGCATCAGTTGCAAAATGTAGGCCTTACGGCATTTGGAAGTACGAGGGAAATCGTCAAAAGTCTGGACCCGGATGCACCGGCCCGAGAGCGTCGTCCTCTGCATGATCTGGATGTAGAGGATCAAGCGCGCCTTTCGAGGCAAATTTTCCAGGAGGTAAGATTCGGTAGAATCGAAGAAGCGCAGAATCTTTGCGAGCACTGCGGACAACCATGGCAGGCGGCGATTCTGGAGGGATGGAGGTTGCATCATGATCCTAATTATGAACCAGCGGCAGGTACTTCCGGGAGGGCTTTGACGACCGGAGTCAAACAGGCCATTGAGGGTAATCCTAGACGGGACTTGTGGAAAAAATTTGCCTGGAAGATGGCCGAAAGTCGGGTCGTAGATGAGTACACACGGGCAACCATTGGAGCTTTCTGTGGCAATTTGAATGCCCTGTTGGCGATCTTGGGCGAACACAACTGGACCGATGTGTTGTGGGCTTATTTGAAGGTAATTTTCATTGATGGTTTGAGTTTTTAAGTTAACTAATCGTTGAGTTTTTGCAGACTCAAATCGACATCCGCGTCGAGAGCGAAATCCGTTCGCACTGCGTCAAAAGCTATCTCCCGATGCCGGAAAAATACTGGAACAGTAAGATGTCGTTAGAACAAATTTTCGAAGAACTGGCTGCGCATAAGAACATCCGCATAAGATCGTCCGCACAGGAGGTGGATCGCGTCATTCAAAAGTATCTCATCTTGGATGATATTCCGGAGCTGATGCGTCAATTCGATGCCTGGTTGGCGGACAGTTCTTTCCCTCTAACGGCACAGATGCTACGTTTCCTTTCGCATTTGGTGCTGTTCATTCGCCAGATCGGGAAACAATGCCAGGAGGACATTGCCGATAAGGTCATCAAGCGCTATGTGGAATGTTTGATAAAGCATGGCGACGCGCAACTGGTAGCTTTCTACACGGCAGCCCTACCGACGGATTTGCAGCTTCTGATGTATTCCAAGTTTCTGGAAACGGTCAACGAAACTCAGGTCCGAAAACGCGTACTAGAGGAAGCGTACAGTTTTGGGCTGGATGTTCCGGCCATTACGGTTTACACGGTGGAGAAAATTCGCAATCGGGAAGAGGAATCGGACGTTAAACCACAGGAAGGTAAGTTGTAATTTAATCTAACAGATTTCCATCGCAAGTAGCTAAACGATGTTTCGTTCCAGGTGACATTACTCCTTTGGATCAGATGAAAATCTCATCTCTAGAGTGGCTGATCTTCTATCCGGATCAAAGGGGAGAATTGCTTTGGCAAGCGAATGGGCTGATCCGGGCATTCCTAGCCAAACGTAACGTGGAAGCCGCTCGGAAAGCTTTCGCTACGGTTCCAGTCGATACGATCCAGCAGATCATCAACAACTACGGTTCCAAGGACGAACTTCCACGGAAAGAAGAAGCCAGCATTAAGGAATATCTTTGCCATCAAACCTATCTGGCCGCAATCGACGGATACAACGATTGGGTGGAGTATTATTACAACATGAAGCCGAAACCTCCGCAATTGGTAAAATCTAGCAACTTTACGGAGCGGGTTGCTTCCGAGCATCGCGAGCAAACGTATCGGAACGATCTGGAACGCTGGCATACGCAGCTACAGGAGCAGACCACGGTCACCCGGGATCTGCTGTACAACATTCTGCTTTTCCCGGAGAAGGGATGGCTGATTGATCCGGACTTTGATGGGAATGAGGGCTCCGATGGGGACGATGAAGACTGGCTCAACCGGGCCGTTCAGATGGAGAATCTGAGAAAGCTTTGCATTCCGGATGTGGTGCTGTTGTTGCATCAGATTTTCACCCTTTCCGGGCGGTACAATGAGAGTTTACAACTAGCTGACGTTATCAGTTCGGAACAGCGAAAGCTCTACACGGTTTACTCCAAGCACAAGCTGGCCGAGGTGATGACCAAGATTGCCGAAGCCTCGCTGGCATTGATGAACGAAAAACTGGACCCATTCGTAGGCGATGAAGGCAAGAAGAAGTAGAGGAAAGCTAAGACGTTAGTGGTATTTGCGTTTCAAATAAACGATTTTTCTTCGGTTAAATACAGTGCTTGTAACCCTGTGTGAGAAAATTTCCATGGAAATCCAATGAGATTACATGTTTTGGAGCTATATCAATTAATTTGGATCTATGACGGGAATGTGAACCCTGGAGGTCATGGGGTGGAAAATCCGGAACATTGCAACTCAATTGGTATAATCGGAAATCCATCTCGACACTGCATCAAGCTTCGAAATTCTAGACTTTCGAAGGATCACGAAGGATCATCATGATTCCATGAGACTGCTTGTAAAGGCTAGAAAATTGATTGGTTGATTTCTTTATTATAGAGACTTTCAGCTGTTGGCTGGTTCGTCTCTGCTATTTCACTAGCGCTAATGAGCCAGCTGCTAGCAAAAAAAGCTCACCAGCATAAAGTAAACAGGGCATCAGCGTCTTCCAGCATGCGATTTCAGGAGCAACTGAAAATCGTGCTAGTTGGCTAGTACACAGTAAAAAAAGTTGTTGAATATTACATCCAAACAGCTGCACAGAGGTCATTCCGCTGGTGGTGTAATATTACGTTGTACGATGTACATCGATTTTGCGAACAAAATTACATCTATTGATGTAATATTGTATCTGCGTTTTGATATTACATCATTATTTCATACATCAGCTTGAATTACGTTGATCGATATTACATTTTTTTTGCTGTGTACACTAGCGCTAGCAAATCTGCCCAGATGTAAACACTAAAGTCCTCTAAGGCTGTGAACCATTTGCCGAGTTAAATTTAACTCGTGGTTAAAAGTGACATTTCGAAAGTTATTCTGTATGTTCGAAAATCCCTGTGCTGTGCGACCGGTTTTCGACTAAGAGGAAGAGGTGACAATTGGCTTCTTCCTCTTTTATTTCTATCTCTATCTCTATCTTTATCTATCTCTATCTCTATCTTACGCACATGAAATCGACCAATCAGGAGCTGGTTCACGTTTAACAGAAAAGTGGTTCATTTTCGCCCCCGTATTGTCACCTCTTCTCTTAGGTTTTCGAGAAGAACTCAGCCACGGTTGTCAACATTTAACTTCTTGTCTGTCAGATATAACCATGCTCGGATAGCAGGGTTAATCGATAACTTTTCATCTGTCAAATTTTAACCAAAAGTTAAAAAAAATCGCGAAATGGTGGATTTTTTTAACTTTTGGTTAAAATTTGACAGATGGAAAGTTATCGATTAACCCTGCTATCCCTTGCTATCCGAGCGTGGTTATTTCTGACAGACAAGAAGTTAAATTTTGACAACCGTGGCTTGAAAACCCGTCGATCGACAGCACGGGGATTTTCGAATATAGAAAATAACTTTCGAAATGTCACTTTTAACCACGAGATAAATTTAACTCAGCAAATGGCATCGAGCGCTCAACTTCCGAGCCAAGCAGACGTACTTACGTTATCGCTATTTCTGGAAGTCGATCTCAAGCTATATATCGTTTGTCGCGCTGCGTTTTTCCATCGCCGAGCCGTAGCGCGTTCCCGCGTACTACGACTCCACGATGGCGCGTCGCGTGAACACATTCCGCATAGATTATGCGATGTTGCCGAAAAAACCGGACAATGCAAAAGTGCAAAACTTTGTTGGAACCATGTTGGGTTTAAAGCCCGGTGAAGTGCTGAGAATACAGTGTAGCAGAAGTCTCGGGTGTGCCTTCGTGAAGGTCGTCGACCTGGAGCTGGCACAAAAAGTGTGCGAAGAACACGACGGAAAACACGAAGTGCAAGTGAGTGAGGGGAAGATGGTTCCCCTGCGAATAACCATGGAAGACGGGGCAGTGGAGGTGAAGCTGTATGATCTGTCTGAGGACGTATCGGACGAAGCCATCATCAAATTCCTGTCCGCGTACGGTGACGTCATCTCAGTTCGCGAACACATGTGCGGAGGTGATTTGTACTTTCCGGGCATTTCCACTGGTGTTCGGATTGCCAAGATGATCGTGAAACACAACATCGAGTCGTGGGTCACTATCGATGGGGAATCGACGTTGTTATCCTATTTTGGTCAACGTCAAACTTGCCGACACAGCCGGGATTTCATCCACATCGGCGCCACCTGCGTGCAGAACAAAAAGCTGCTAGTTCAGAAGTCGTATGCCGATGCGACAAAGCAGCCTGCACCAACACCAACCAAACCAAATGCGAAGCCACGGAGCCAAAAGCCAACGTTGCAGACAAAACCCTCACCGTCGAAGAAGCCGAAACAGCAGTTGTTGTCGGTTACACAAAAACCAATTAACACGCAGTCGGAGACACAATTTCCTCCACTCACTCTCCCCATCATACCCGTATCGGGTCCAAAACCGCCGCCGGAGAAAAGGTCGCTGTCCAACACGTCCGGTCAACAGCCCCCTGATGGTGGAAAGTCCGATGGCAACGAGACAGACGACTCGGCAATGTCAACGCACAGCACAAACTCTAGAGGACGCCCTAGAACCAGAAAGCGACGAGATGGTATCGATGACGAGCGGGATCTCGAAAACCAATCGTGAATCCAATCGCCAGCTACAACATCGCTACTATCAATATAAACACGATCACCAACGAAACAAAACTCAACGCCTTCCGAACTTTTATCAGAACGATGGAGCTTGACATCGTGTTTCTGCAAGAAGTGGAGAACGAGCAGCTCTCGATTCCTGGCTATAACGTTGTCGCTAATGTCGATCATTCGAGAAGGGGGACTGCTATAGCGCTAAAAGAATACATTCGGTTTTCCCATATAGAAAAGAGCTTGGATGGCAGGCTCGTTGCTCTGCGGGTTGAAAACACCACATTGGCAAACGTATATGCACCGTCGGGCACAGCAATGCGTGCCGAGCGAGAACGCTTTTTCAATAATACCGTCGCCTTTTATCTTCGGCATAACACCGAACATCTAAGGCCGATGACATAGTAACGCGTGTAGCGAAGCGTGTGCGTGTGCGTCTGAGCTGCTTTGATGAACGTCCATGCAAAATGCTTGGTGAAACGATTACACATGTCATAGTAAACGCGTTGCAATGCGTCAGCAATAGCGTCAAAGCACTCCTTGAAGTGTTTTCACGCGCGTGCACGGGAAAGACTGTTGTAGTGCCATCGAATTTAAATGGTGATCGACTAGGTAACTGCGATTACGTATGAATAGCATCGGTAGATGGGACGTTTGAAACATAGCCATTGGTGTTCTGTTAATGTTACATGTTGAATGTTAAACAAACTGTTAAAAATAAATTGTGAAATGTAAAATGTTAAATGTTAAATGGTAATCGTTGAATGTTGATTGTTATATGTTAAATGCTACATAATGAATTCTAAATTTCAAATGTAAAATTAAAAATGTTTTAATGTTAATTTCTAAATGATGAATGCTAAAAGCAGAATGTTAAATGTTACATGTAAAATGTTACATGATAAATGTTACATGTTAAATTTTAAATGTTACATGTTAAATATTACATGTCAAATGTTTATTGTTTAATGTTAAATATTAATTGTTAAATGTAAAATGTAAAGTTTTAAATATAATTTGTTAATTTTTAAATGCTAAATGTTGAATCCTCAATGCTAAAGGTTGAAATATAAATGTTAAATGTAATATGTTAGATGTTAAATGTTAATTTTCAATGTTAAATGTTAAATGTTAAATGTTAAATGTTAAATGTTAAATGTTAAATGTTAAATGTTAAATGTTAAATGTTAAATGTTAATTTTTACATTTTACACGAAACACTTTAAATGATTAATTTTAAATGTAAAATGTTAAATGTTAAATGTTAAATGTTAAATGTGAAATGCTGAATCTTAAATGTTTAATGCCAAATGTTAGATGGTAATTTAAAAAATGTTAGACGTTAATCGTTAAATGTTAAATGTGCTTGTCAAATATTAATTGCTAATGTTAAATGTTTAATGTTAAATGTTTAATGTTAGATGTTAAATGCTGAATGTGTATATCAAATGCTAAATGCTGAATATTAAAAGTTACATGTTAAATGTAAATTGTTAATTGTTACATGTTCATTTGCCATCTTGTTAGTACCAATTTTTAGCACTCAATTTTGAGTAACCCTAGTTTCGACAGAATTTGAGTAGCTCGAAACTAGGGCTACTCAAAATTGAGTGCTAAAAGTTGGTACTAACAATATGACAAATGAATATGTAACATGTGACAATTAACAATTTACATTTAACATGTATCATTTAATATTCAGCATTTCGCATTTGACATACACATTCAGTATTTCACATCTAACATTAAATATTTAACATCTTTACTCAATCTACTTTACTGAAAATTAGGTAGTTTAGAATTAGCGTGAAGACCAGTTATTTTAACTGACAACAATGCGAGCTGCGCTTTCAAAAACGCGTTGAGTATGTCATAGTACGCATCACTCGACGCTTTATTGAAATTCAGCAAACGCTAACAACACGCGTTGCTCGACGCTCCGCGTTACTATGTCATCGGCCTAATACTTGCCGGAGATTTTAACTGTGTGCTACGATCATGTGACTCGTCGGGATTCAACAGCAGCCCCGCTCTCCAGGCCACGGTACAGCAGCTACAACTCAACGATGTTTGGGTTAAGTTGTACCCCACGACCCCCTTCTCCACATACGTAACGCACAACTCGGTCTCCAGGCTCGACCGCATATACGTCAGCAATGGTCTATGCACGTATCTCCGGAGTGCAGACACGCATGTATGCTCTTTTACGAACCACAAAGCGCTTACCGCAAGAATATGCCTCCCTAGCCTCGGACGCGAATCTGGCCGCGGTTACTGGTCCCTTCGTCCCCATATTCTCACTGCAGAGAACATCGAAGAGTTCCAGATTAGATGGCAGTATGTAACCCAACAGCGACGGAACTTTCCAAACTGGATAACGTGGTGGATATCATGCGCTAAACCGAAAATTCTTTCTTTTTTTCGGTACAGGGAATTTCATGCTGAACACCAACGTTTGTATTCGCAGCTTCGGCAAGCATATAACAACTACTATC